GTTAACTTTAACTACTTTTTAACTGCAGTTAAGGCTAACTACACTTTTATACAACCGGCTTAACTACGTGATTAAAGTTAACTACTTTTTAAGGCTTTTTAACTACTTTTTAACTGCAGTTAGCGCTAACTACGTTTTTATACAACCGGCCCCAGATAAACATCGGCTGCTCGTGTTTTAACGTGCTTAAAAGACGACCCATCATATGAGTTCATTGGCGAAGTAATTTTAAAAATAAACATTGTCTAAGCCGAGAAAATCGAAGCAGAAGTTTATGTAAATGAGGACAATTTTTACAAATCTATTATCCAATCGATTTACATACATTGATTAACATTCATTTCTTTTGAATTTCATTCATGAATTATTAATACTGTATTTTGTGTCCAGCATTCGCAAATGTTTTTGTTTTTTCTCTGGTGTCGAAAATTCACTGCTGGCGAGCAACGATGCAAATCAATACAAGTTTTGATATATTTCAGATTCGACAGTTCCTGGTCAACAAGCATGGCCAGATAACGAAATTGGATATACGCATTGTCATTGGCCAATACCCCATCACGTGTTCGGCCGTTTCACTCCCCTCTTTATCTTTTATTATTTCTCCGCCTTATTTTAAATTTCGGATCTTTCTCGGTCGCCCTTCGGAGTATCATCGTGTAACATAAATTAATGTCAAAGATGAACATAAATTATTTGCGCCTGCGATGAGCTAATAATATATACCGCTTTCAACATTCAAAAATGGCGCCCGATGAAAATTGAAAACATTTACATGTAATTAAAAGGTTAGTATAAATTTACACAAATATTTCTGGCGTGCTCCCTTGATCGACTGCCTTTCTTAAATGATGACTGCCTTTCTTAAATGCCCTTCTTGAATGATGGTTTTTAAGGCGCATTTCAGCCCTTTTAAATTAATTGAAAAAACTAACTAGGAAAATCAATTAAACATAATTCAACAACAGTAAACTCAATGTTTTTAACAATAAAAATGTTTTAAAATGTTAAAAACATTAAGTTTGCCGAGTGCCTTTAATAAACGTCGTAATCTTAGGCTTTATGCAGCAATTATCAGAATGAATTTTTCTGTGTTGGTGTAGTGTACTCAGGTGAATATGATATTTGTGGTGTTACTCTGAGTGTATATCCCCACCGGGCGAGCTTGAAAAATATGCCCGGCCACGGTGGGATTCGAACCTACGACCTTTGGAATACTAGCCCAATGCTCTTCCAACTGAGCTACGCGGTCAGGACGGTTCGACTAAGTGATATTTCGGAACAGAATCTAGTTCCTTCGATACCAATGTATTCTAGTAATATTTTTTTTTTCTGTGTTGGTGTAGTGTACTCAGGTGAATATGATATTAGTGGTGTTACTCTGAGTGTATATCCACACCGAGCGAGCTTGAAAAATATGCCCGGCCACGGTGGGATTCGAACCTACGACCTTTGGAATACTAGCCCAATGCTCTGTTGGGGATTGGCTCCAAGTATCGCCCAAAATAAATCACAACAAAACACAGTATAATATCTATTACAAAATCACAAGTTTCACAGTTTCACAGCCACATGTTTTTTAAGTTCTCTCCTGGAAAAAACAACAACCACCGGTATAATCCGGAACTTTCCGAAGTGTTTAAAGTTTGGACTCGCGCGTCCCACGCGTGAACATAAATGCTAATTCTAAATTACGACAGTTTCCGACACTCTCCCCCCATAAACCTTGCAGCGAGGTATATGTCCCTCAAAGGAGACTGGTCCAACCAAACAATACTAATAAAGGATAAAGTTCTATAAAAGTTCAGTGTTCAATTTGCACTATATAGTTTTCGTCAACGTTCTACTTCTGCTACTTCTTTAATGCGTTGTTGAGCTGCCACTGCAGCATCTCGTCTTGGTCGGAACGACGCCGCTTCTGGGTTTAAGTTGATAGGTTCCTTTGTTTCTGTACGGTCACAGGATAACTCGAGTGGATACAGGTGGTTCACTGCTCGTTCAAGGTAGGTTTTTCCTGCACGAAGTTTCACCGGACGAACAACACCATCACGTCCTTTGTACAGCTCGTCGACAATACCGAGAGGCCACTTTCCACGACTTCGTTCATCCGATTGTATAATAACCACGTTACCCTTTTTCACCGTGAACGACGTCTTCTTGTGATTTTGGTTATGCCGCTCTCGTAGACCGCGCAGATATTCCGTTTACCATCTCCGCCACATTGCTTGCTTGCACTTTAACAAATACCTTGCACGCTTGCGTAGATCCTTTTCTTGTATGTGATGTGCTTCCAGCTCTGGCGCAAATGTAGAACCAATGAACATCATGGAGTTAGGCGTTAGCGTTGGTAGCTGTACATCGTCTTCCATGTAGCTGAGTGGTCTTGTATTCAATGCTACTTCGATGTCTACGAGGACCTCCTTCAGCTCGTCCCATCTCAGCGACCCTTTGCCAATTGTTTTATGTAGAGCTCTTTTTACCAATCCGATTAAGCGCTCGAACTGGCCACCCCACCATGGGGCGCGACTCAGGTTGAACTGCCATCTAATTCGATTCTTGCTGAGGAATTCGTTTAACTTTTCATCGTTTTGAGCTGTTCGTAACCAGTTTGCTGCTGAAACAAACGTTTTTGCGTTGTCAGAGTAGACTTTGCTTGGTCTCCCTTTCCTTGCGATGAATTTCTTAAAACTCTCGATAAACTTTCCTGTGTCTAAGCAGGGCATCAACTCGAGATATACCGCTCGCGTGAGGCTACAGGCATAGAGTAGTATGTATGCCTTTCCTTCTTCCTTCTTTTTCTTAATGTACTTAATAGGACCAGCAAAGTCCACGCCTATTGTTTCAAAGGGACGACTCCCTTCAGTTCTATCAGGTGGCAGCATACCAGGTGGTGGTTGTAGTACTGCTTTCGCTTGCAATCTACGACAACCGTAACACTTCTTGATTACTTTGCGTGTAAGTTGTCTAAGTCGTGGGACCCAGTATTGTTCTCGAATTCGGGCCATGGTCATCCCCACTCCCCCATGAAGGGTGCATAGATGGGCATCTTCCACCAGCTTGGTCGTAAAGATGTGCTTGTCTGACAGATAAACTGGATAATGACCTTGAATGCGTCCCCTGCACTCCAGGATACCTTGGGGGTTCTCTTGTAAATTGAGTCGCAGCTTATCGTCTTCGCTACCACAGCTCTGTTGTACTTTCTTTTCCCAAAATACATATTGCTGCTCGAGCTCATCAGTCGTTAGTGGTCCCAAAGTTCTCTAATTGGGTTTTCTCAGGTTTGTTATGAACCTCGTAATCCACGCGCATATTCTCATGGCTTTTCGTGATGCAAACTTCTCAAGGATGTGGTCAAAACAGTCCGAGTTATCTTGGGTCAATCCCAGCACGGTTTTGATCATCTTCGCTTCAGCTTCGCTTTCTTTGGTTGCACAGGTTACGACATTTTCTGGCCACATACGATTATCTTTAAGCCATCTGGTCCATTTAACCACAGTTGGTTGTCTTTCACTTGGCCACCTCTGCTTCCCACATCAGCAGGATTGCAATCGGTCGGAACATAGCGCCACTGTATGTTAGGTTTTAACTGGATCTTTTGAATTCTATTGGCTACGAACTGTTTATGCTCTCCCCCGCCCTTTATCCAGTGTAGCGCCACTGTACTGTCGAGCCAACCATACGTTTCTTGCACAGGAAATCCATCCAGGGTTTGTCGCACGTTGTCTACGATGTTGGACGCCATGTGTGCTGAGACCAACTCTAGCCTGGGTATTGTCAACCCGTGTTTCGCCAATCTCGCCTTCGCTGCTACTAGACCTTGCGTTGTACCAGAGGGTTGGTTAACCACAGCATAAACAACGGCTGCTACACCCTTGCCACTTGCGTCACCAAAGGCATGCAATACAATTGACTCGATGTCCTCCTGGAAGGTGGGTATTGAACGTGGCACAGCTATGTGGTTTGGCAATTGCTTCTCCCATTTGAGCCAATCATTCTTTTGCTCAGCAGATAACGGAGCATCCCACGATATCTTCTTCTC